CCGGGGGAGAGAAGTTAGAAGCAGGGCTGTGTTACTTCCGCCAATGAGTTCACAATTCTTAAGGCCTCTCCCAGAAAACTACCTCTTAGGCCCTGCAGCTGCCAGGGCCAAAGGAATAGTAAGTCCCTCCTGGGAGCAACCATCAGTTACTCAAGAAGCCCAGAGCAGGCAAGTCTGGCAGCTTGAAGCAGTACTTTCCACGTGTGGGCTTCCCATGCAGGCCCGCCCCTCGGCGCTGCAGCACGTCGGGCCGGACACGCAGCTTCCCTCCCACTGGATCAGCACCACCTGAGCACATCTCAGCTGAGATTTCGCTTTCTGTGATCTCAGTTATCCGAGGTCGGCCTCAGTCCAAAAATACTACATGGAAAATACAGAAATAAACAAGCCATATGTTTTAAACGGTGCATCGTCCAGAGGGGCGTGAAGAAGTCTCGTGCAGGCCTTGTCTCCTCCCTGTGTCCAGTGTCTCCAGGTGTCTCAGCTGTCTCCCTGCTAGTCACACAGTAGACGCTCAGTATCAGATCAAAAAAGCATGGGGCATGTAGGGCTCAGTACCATTCACGATTTCAGACATCCCCCAGGGGTCTTGGACTAGACCCTGAAGATAAGGGGGACTTCTGTAGAGGATACAGTTTCCTCATGGCTCGGTCCAGGGAGCACTACAGGATGCCGGATTGAGGATGCTGTGCTATTATGACGATAAAGTCTCTAAGTTCCAGGTCTTCTGTGCACAGTCACGTCTAAGGCGAGCATCATTTTGTTGGTGCTTCTGTGACCTCAATAGCCTGCTGGAAACTGTCTAACACAGACATAAGGTCGTAGGGGACAGAGTCACTGGGTGGTAACGAGAGCTCCAGTGTAAAAAGAAAATGGTGTGTTGGATCCAGTCAAGCCCGATGTTAGGAGCCATAATTAGGCTTCCTCCTGGGCCCGCATCACCCCAATGCACCAGGCTCGGACCGTCACTCCTTCCCTACCCTCATCTCCTCAAGGTGGTGGTGACCATCCAACATAATGACCTGGGCCAGAGACCAGCTATCCTATCGGATTAACTACAGAGGCCATGGATTCCTGATACCAAAGAGACAAGCATAGATTCTTACCAGAAGTTCGTCTAGATTAACCAAAACACATGCAACAATGTGAAGAAAGCCCCCAACATACAAATGAGTTTGGTTCCAAGAGTGTGTTTGAAGTCCAACAAAGCTAGCCTAGGTACCCAACTAACACAGTTGGCTATATAGTCTTGAATGTATTTAACAGGCTTTACTGACACCTGGTGGAAAGAAACAATAAATTAAAAAAAAAACACAGGTGTGCATCTTTAAAGTCCATTAACTTGAAGGTTTGTATGTAGGGGGACTTCCTGTATAAGCAGGAAACTGCACAGAAAAAGACAAATGCTAGCAGTTGAACCTATTGCTGTAAAATCTTACAGCAGACGTTCTTGGGTGCCTCCTGACCCTGGTGGCTGGAAGGGGCGGTGCCCATGGCCTGAGGAGCCACACGTGACAAGGCCTGCTCAAGCATGTACCCTGGGAGCCCCGCCAAAGCCCCAGGCATGGAAGCAAAGCCCACCTGGACCCAGCAGACCAGCCAAACTCCAGCTAAAGGCCATCCGATGACCCTGTTGACACCATGTGGGCAGGCGAATTGGGCAGCTGAGTTCCCGGCTGAGTTCTCAGGCCCTGCCTGAGTTCCTGACCCATATTATGTCAGAAAGCGTGACAAAATGGTATTGGTGAAGCCTCGGAGCTCGGAGTAGCTTGTTGCAGGCAGCAGACAAGCGGAAGGAAAGAGTGAGTATCTCCCACGAAGGGTCTTGAGCCAAGCGCCTGTCTGATGGGCTGGGCTGCCAGGCTGGGTGACTGACTTCCACAGACACCTGTTTCTCACGGTTCTGGAGCTGGAAGGTCAAGGTCAAGGGGCCCGCAGATTTGCCGTCCGGCGAGGGCCTTCTTTCTGGGTTGCGGAGGGCGCCTTCTCACTGGGTCCTCCCAAGGGGAAAGGAGGGTGAGGGAGCTCTGGGCTCTCTCCTACAAGGGCACCAAGCCCTCTCATGAGGACTCCTCCCCGAGAGCCTGCCTTTAATTGGGGACTTGGATGCATGTGGTAGCGTCACATTGGGGGCTTAGATTTCAATGTCAATTGTGGGGAGGCAGAAGCATGCAGACCATCACAGGGCCCCGCTCAGACACCCGAAGTAGAGCTGGCCTCTTTCTGCATCATGGGCCTGGCCTCTGGCTTCACAACAGCACTGCCTCTGAGTCAAATGACACGGAGCTCAGTTCCTTTGGGACACTGACCTTGGCCTTGTTTCCCAGGCTTGGCTGTGCATTGGCATCACCCGAGTTCTTAAAAGGACTGCTGTCTGGGTCCCACTCCGAGGCCTGGGCATTAAGATTGTCTTAAGCTCCCCTCCTGATTGTAAAGCGCAGCTCGTTTTGAGAACCGTGCACCTAGGAGCTGTTAAACATGTCAACAGTAAACACCTAGGACCTGAGCCAATTTGGAACAAACTGAGACGGAGAAAGGACCTCAACAGTGACAGCCCGGGACTGAAGCTGGGAATTCTGGGCCTCCAGGGGTGCACCCTTCCCCCTCCCTGGCCCGCCCCTCCTCGGACTCAAAGGGTCCCTGGGAAACAGAGTTAGCCTCTATAATGAGTGGAATCGCGGCCCTCCCAAACGGAAGTCCTAACCCCGCCGGACCTCAGGATGTGACCTTATTTGGAGACAGGGTCGCTGCAGATGCAACCAGTTAAGATGAGACCTTAATTTAGGGTGGAAACTGGAAACCCGGTAGCCCTAAATCTGAGGGGGCTTGCGTGTGATGCTTGCCTGTTCCAATGAGTCACCCAGGGGTCCCGCAGGGAAAGACATTGGTTTATTCAGACTCACAGGCAGCACCAGTGGAGGCAGTTCAAGGCAGAATCTGTGCCCCGGGGCAGCTCAGCAAGCAGCTTTGTTATCATCAAAGCAATCAAGAGAATCGTTCCTATCCGGTGTGTAAAGTTAAGTGATGAAGAGTGGCAACTACACTGTTTTCAGCACTGCTCAGCCACCCGCATCCCATGGCTCACTGCTGGTCACATACATGCCCTTAGAGCCCAGCTTTGGCCAGAGGCCCTTTCCTGAGAAAGGGGCCGGAAAGAAGCTGGGGACAGGGGAAACAGTCTCTATCTAGGCAATGCCCCACCCTGAGACCCGTGTCCCCAGAAGACGTCCGTGTGAACACAGAAACACACCAGGGGGATACCGCGCGGTGACGGAGGATGGCAGTGATGCCTCCACAGTTCCAGGACTGCCGAAGGCCACCAGTAGCCCTCGGGAGGGTTTCTGTAACAGGCTTCAGTGGCCCTGCCCACACCTTGATTCTGGACCTCCAGCCTCCTGAGCTGCGAGACAACATAGTTTCTGTTGCGGGAAGCCACCCGATTTGTGGGATTTTACAGCAGCCTAGGAAGCCAGCAGCACAGCTCCAAAAGGGCAGGATGAGCCTTTGTTCGACCCGTCTGGAAGCAGCTCCAGTCGGTGCAGGCCATGCCCTGCTCACCTGTGGTCACGTGTGAAAGTCGCCTCCCGCTCAGGAAGCGGAGGGCCGGAGGCGTCACGTTCGCAGGCGCCCAGGGATGGTACCGGGCGCATCAGGACCACCCATGCCCCTTCCCTCCTCCTACCAAAACTTTGTAGACCCCACCTCTGTTCAGGAGTGACTGTGTGACCACTAGAGTGGGGGGTCGTCTGTGTTTGAGGCCCTTGTCTGTAGAACCCCTCTTCTTCCCCCACGACCCTTGCAATGGCTTGTGGACACGCGCTCACCTGGGGAAGAACAAAGCTAGGATTCTCTGCATGATCTCGTCACCTTCAGCCTCGAGACACCACGGAAAGGAAAGACAGCCCCATCCAACCCGGCTCGCCGACCCAAGGCTGATGACGGCTCTGTGGAATAATAGCCCCCTCTCACGCACTAACACGGGAGTGCAAATTTTCACAGGTAGCCTGGGGGCAACGGGCCAGGCCCCCTGAAGGTTCACGGTTTAACTCTTGCTCTGCAAATGCCTCTTAGGGTGAGTCATGCCCCATCAGGGAAAGAGTCTGCACGGGCCGGGGGGTTGGCCTGCATCACCACAGAGTCACTGGGTGCACGTCACGCAGAACTGCTTCATGGACCGGGTCGTCTGCCCGGGCTGTCCTGAAGACATGTGCAAGGGACAGCATTGGGGGAAGATAGCAAACAGAGTAAGTTCTCATTTGTACTGAAGCTTAAAAAGAGGGAGAGAGTATATGTGTAGGTATATGACTAAAAAACTATGCAAAGCAAACTAGAAAATCTGAATAGCCGGTGGCTGAGGTGGGAGAGTGGAAGAACCGGGTGCCCACCCACTGCGGAAGGAAGCGCCATTGTGTTATTATCAGTTCCACTCGCCAGTTTGTCAGTGAGTTCTCAGTGGCAGCTGTGGTGTGGACATTGTAGCTGTCTGTACCCAAGGGTCCGTCCCACCCACCCCAGGTGTGCGATCATCCAATGGCTTCGGCTTTGTCAGTGATCCTCCCACCCAGCCAGTGTCTGAGGCCTCAGACGCTTGAAGGAGGCATAAGCAGACACTGCCCTGAGCTTGGACGCTGGCCGCCAGGGCTGGCAGGTCAGCAGGAGGCCACTGGGGCAGCCTGGTGGGCAGCGGGCACACACAAGGAGCTGGGGCTGGGCAGGAAGGCGGGCAGCTGGCAGAGTTTTCCAGATGTCTCCAGGACTGCTTGTGAGTAAGTCTGGTGCACCAAGCTGAAGCCATGGGGATACAGGTGTGTATCTGATGCTCGGAGGCAGACAGCACCTCCTGAGATCTGCAACCTGGCGAACCTCAGTCATCCTCAACCACGTGGTATCACACCAGCTCATCTCGGGGAAGGGGGAAGAGATAACAGGAAGCATCTTGTAGGTTGCGCCAAGCCTGGCCGGACACAAGTGAGCGACCCCAAGGGTCGAACTTGGCTTACCTCTGCGGTTGACAGGGTCCTTAGCCACATAGGCAACATAGTCCGTGGTGTCCTGTTAAAGAAAAACGAGACGTCTGTATCACGAATCACAGGTGCGAGACAGCCCAGCCAGGAGCACAGGCAAGCTCATAAGTACTCAGCCATCACGCAGTCCAACCATCCAACTGCCTAAGTATCAGCCTACAGAGGACTCAGACTGTCGTGTGGGGAGAAACTGCCCGGAGGCTTGTGATGCAGGTTCTGACTGCGGTGTGGGCAGGGCCTGCGGCTCTGCACTGCTAACAGCCCCCACGGGAGCCAGATGTGGCCAGCCCGTGCCCACACTTGGAGCCACAGGTGTGAAAGGCATGTTGGATTGCCCGAGACACTTTCAAAACATGGGTACCAGAGTCCAACGTGCAGATAGCCTAATTTAACTGGTCTGAATGTGAGGCCTGGGCATTGAGAGGCTCTCAAAATTCCCTAGACAATGGTACAAATTCGTATCAAAATTGAGCACTGTTACCAGCTCTGTCTACACTTTCGGGCCTCCAGTGTAAGCTACTATCAGAATCCTCTGCAGGGCTTGTTAAAACAGACTGCTGGGCCATGCCCTAGAGTTTTTGACTCCGTAATGGTTCTGGCCTCAAAATCTGCATTTCTGACTCATTTCCAGCTGCTGCTGCTCCAGGGACCACATTTTGGGAATGGCTGGTCTGGAAGAAAACCAGGGTGGATGTGTGAAGCCAGTTGTAAGTGCTGCCCCATGGGCTGATGAAACAGGACAGCTGTTTTCTTCTTGGACATGAATAATGATCTTAATCCCTTAAGCTGTTTAAAAAATACGGGCTCTGTTTAGAAGTCTCACCCTTCCACATGAAATATGGGTTTCCCTGTCTGCCTTCTCATTTAGCCAGTGCACAGAGGAAACTGTGACTGCAAAAGTATCCAGTGGGTACCATGATCACCACTGGGGGGGGAGGCTCGATAGAAGCCCATCACACAGCATACAGTAAGTCCCCTACAGAGGAATGAGTCTTGTTCTGAGAACACGTTCGTAAGTCCAATTTGTTTGTCAGTCCCCCAGAGTCAGCCTAGGTGCCCATCTAACACAATCGGCCATATAGAACTGTATTGCAGTAGGGTTATAATACTTTTCACACAAATAATACATATAATACACAAAAAATAACTTTTTTTTACAATATAGTACCTTGGTAAGTACAGTGAATTAACTTACTTGCTTGGATATGCAAACATAGATTTGCATCTTTGAAAGTTCACAACTTGAAGGTTTGTATGTAGGGGACTCGCGGTACCCATGGAACAAACCTGTACATGTCTGGAGCTAGAATTTAACTTAATTGAAAAAGCAGGCCAAAGCAAGCATGTGCGTTTTAGTTTTTAACAAAATAATCAGAGGAACCAATAATTCTCCTAACTCTCGAAAGCAGAAAAGACGCCTATAATTTCAACATTCAGAAAAGTCTCCAGGGGCCACTGCTAAAGATCTACCCCATTTCTTGCAGATATTTCCCAAATGTTATGGCTTTGAAGGACTTTCCAAGTTATTGATGACCCCAGTGTTGTCAGTACCCGAACGAGTTCTGTCATGAGTTCCTGCATTGTCTTCCCTGAGCACAGAGCAGACGTCCTCCATTCAACCAGCAGGGCCCTAGAGAAGCTCTCTAGTGAGAGAGGGACGAGGGGGACAGTGGGTGTGGGGCGATGATTCACATCTGCTGTCGGGTGGTGGGTGGCGCCAGGCTCTTTTCCATCTATCACCCCCGGGTCTCGCACAACCCAAGACCACAGCCAGGCAGAAGGACCCTCTGGCAGCTCTTGAGATAATGGCACCATCACCTCCAGTCATTCACCAGGTGCAGCTCACCTAAGCGGTTTCCCTCTCCTGCTCGGGACACTGTTCACTGGTTTATCTACGGACTGACTAGGGAAGGGAAACAGAAGACCGCCAAACTGGTCTGTCTGCTGGTCATTCCCAGCGAGAAAGAGCGAGTCAGAATCTGAAGCTGTTGGCAAAAATAAGGATCGTAGTTTGTAGTCATGGATTCTTCCTGAATTCATGAGATGTGAACACTGGGAGGATCCCTAGAAAGCATCTCAGAGCATCTTAGCACTAGCATTTCTCAAACTGAGATCCACGGAAACCCTAGGGCTGGGCAGGTGTTTTCTCCAGTTGGAGATGTCATCCGAATTTTTTTAAATTTTGTATTTTCATTCCCATGATTATCCTAAAAATTAATCCAAGGATATATGGAATCACTTAGGTGACCTCTATGTTATCCAGCTCTGCACACAGTTTCAGTGCTGAGATTTGCTGTTGGGTTTCCAACATTATGGGTGACAGATTTTTAAAGAATTTGGGGGGAAAAAACAGTTATCAGAGTAGATGTCTTTACCCTACTTGAGGCAAACTGTACACGATGTACACCCAAAGTGTTGCCTTGAATAGAAGAAATCAGTGGGAGGATTGAGTTGCCTAGGTGTCCATAGTAATTGAGAGTTACTGACTCAAAAGCTTCTGCCTGGTCTGATCACACTGGAACAGAGATGTGGGTTCAGCAACCTTTGCCACCGCAATACATTAACGTTACTCGGAATGATCTTGGCTTTACAGTGTTTATTTATATTTAACTTCCAAATGTGATTTGAATTTGGAGATCAATAAAAGGTATACCCGTAAGAAGTTTACTCTTAATTTATTTTTGTACACATTCGGGTAGCAAAATTAGAGTCAACATAAGTGGTGCAAACAAGAAAATTTGTTTTTTAGCTTTCACTTTGGTCTAAGAAACTACTCTGGCTCAAAGCTTGGAAGACAGTAAAAGGACATAACGTGTCCCTGTCCCTTAGAGCATTGACGGCCAAGCCAGGACACCACTTTTCTGACACCAGCCTCGATCCTTCCCTGGCCCAGTAGGCGGTTGTAGTGCAGCTCAGGGTGATGTTCTTGCCACCATACTCCAAATATGGGTCTGCCCATCTGTGTCTTGTGCTGGTCTCACTCCCCAGTCCCCTCCACACCCAGCCACTGTTCAGGCATTCTTTTGTTGGCCCTTTAACCCTGCCAGTAATAATAGATGGTAATCATAGTGTGCTGCTTTTTGAAGGTGGACTAATAGTATTTTCTGATCTGTCTTGTTTGGCGTTTCAAAATACTATTTTCCAATTGGGTAAACTGAAGCACAGAGCAAGAAGTGACATATACATTTTTCAGGAGAACTAAGATTAGAATCTAGAATTGTCCATTTTTAAAAAACATCTACCAATTGCCATGTGCTGAATTCATGGTTACAAATTAATTTGGAATGGAATCTCATACGCAATGTAACATGCATTTGTATTGATTAAAAATGAAAAGAAACTAGTTTTCCTGTCCCCTATTATGACACTTTCTGTACCAGAAAAAAATCACATAGGATATAAAAGGTTATGAATTACTTAAGGATTACTAAATGCTTCCAATTTTTTTAAGTGAAGAAGTGATCAAGAAATTTGAGAAAAAAATTATAGTCCTGTGTGCATCTGGGGACTAAAATAATTCTCACACAAACCAATGTATTTGGTGTCCCTTGATCTAGGTGTTGGTATCTCCAACTCATAGTGTCACCATCAGGACGAGGTTTAAGAAAAGCTCCTGAGAGGAGACGTACGAGACAGGTTTACCTTCCAGGTTTAAGACACTATGGCTCCAAGCACCACATGACAACTAGACTCCAGTTAATTGGGGTTGAGATCAATATAGAGAAAGGCATGGGTATGTGCATAGGAATAGCACAGGTAGAGGACAGGTAGACGTATACAGACATGGACAGGGTCTTCAGAAAGAATTGCCTTGGAAGACTTCCACTAGGACAGACGTTCACTTTCTAAACATGCATCTCGATGAGGTCTTTCATGTTACAATGAAATGTAAGAAATTATAAAGATCGGAAAGAAAGACACAGCCAGAAAAGAGAAGGAAACAGAAAGGAAAACCACCGTGGTAGACGTTTGACAATGAGACCCTAAGTATAAAAAAGGCCCAAGCCTTTGCGCTACAGAATGGTGGGAGAAACAGAGCCCTGTGTGTCCTTTGACAATCACATGGAGATATACGGGCAGAGAACCCTCCAGAGGGTGGGCAAATTCTGCCCCTGCCAGGTGCCCATGGCTCAAGGATCTGAGACGAGGTCTCCGGAAAGCAACAGGACCCAAGCCTGTTGCGGCCGCCCATGCCAGCCCCAGCAGAAGGGTTGCTCCTGGTGGTTGTGCAGTTAGGCAGGGAACATCCCGTTTCCTCACTGCGGAGACCGGTGGCCATGGTACCAGCATGTCAAGGAGCTGGCGTCTGCACCGAAAACTGCCCCGTTGATTCGGCTTCCACGTGCCCACAGCAGTGCTGCAGTCAGGCTCCCAGGAGGAAGGGGCACGGAGGGAAAAGCAGGAAGGTCGTGAGGTCATGGGCAAGTCACCTTCCTGGTCCCTGGCCTGGGGCGAGGAGGGACACAACGTGCTGGCCACTGGGGTGACCCTGGACCCATCAACTTTGACATACAGTCTGGAGGTCGCCGTCTCAAAGTTTGGCCAAATAATGCCAAATGATCATAATAAAAACACCATCTACAAGACAGCATTTGATTGTAAAAAGACTATGCACCACCAAAAAAATAAAAAAGGATACCCCACCTCAGGATAGAAGATACTTTTTCATTTGAATAAATGTAGCTCTAAGGAAAAGTCACTCTATCATCCTAATTTCAAATTTTTTCCCTGGACTAGTGATAACTTTCCCCAGACCAATGGGAACGAACTGGAGGTCAAGCCTTTCTCCCCTTCACTTCTGGACCGGACTGGCTCCATTTGCTTCCCTGGTCCCCAAAGCCTCGCTTCCTAGTGACGGATGCTTGCCGGGTTGCTCCGAGGGCCTGGCCGAGGACGGCGAGCCGGCAGTCCGCGTGGGGCGACGGCGCCGCCTCAGTGCAGGAGGAGGCTTCTGAGTCCGCCTTTGTGTCAATGCAGTTTGGAGACGGCCACTCGGACACTGAACGCTGACATGCTACCATGGCATGCCCAGGGACATGCAGAGGCAAGTCCCCGCCTTCATTAAAGAAGCAAAGCCAAAGCAGAACACTCTCGTGCCTTTCTCTAGGTCTTCTCTCTCTCTGTCTCTCTCTCTCTCTCTCTCTGCCTCTGCAGCTCCCTCCTTGTGGGCAAAGCAAACCGTTAAAGGACTAAAAGTTACTTCTGGAGAGAAAAATGCCGACTTTAAATGCTATGAATCAACCAGACTAAGTAAACCCACAGCCTTTGAGTAGACCTGAAACGTGACACTGGAGGTCCAGTGGGAAAAAGTCGAGGAGGGCAAGCGTAGGGTGACCATGGGAGATGTCCCTAGCCACTCGGAGGTGGGTAGCCATCCCATCAGGCTGGTGTTGGCAGGGGTTTGGGCAGCTTTGGGCTGATGAGATGCAGGTTAATGGTAGGCCCCTGTCATGGGCGACCCCTAAGAAATGACAGCCAAGAAGACCTTTTGAACTCGGGAGGGGGAAACAGTCGGCATCACAATGAACTCTCTTCCCAGTGTCTGGCAGGCAGCTTTGGAAGCAGGGGGTCCTGCTCAGACAGCCCAGGGCACTTACCGGGTCTCCCCCGGAGGCGAAGGAGATGGAGCGCATGTGGTGGTTCGCGATGATCTGCCGGGTCCAAAACAAGAAACAAGAGGCACCGTTATTCCCCTTCCCTGTCTCAGAAACCAACCGTGCGCTGGCAGGAATTATGAATTGACACGACTTCCTGAAAATCGGTACCCATGTGAAAATAGGAAGCACTAACATAATAACCACAGATAATCTCTCACAGCCTGATGACAGCTGTCCAGCTCCTTTGCCAGAATGATCTCATTTAAGCCTCACTGCAGCCCATGATGTAGGAACTGTTATGACCCCGTTTCACAGGCAAGGAACCTGAGTCCAGGGGAGTCAAGTGACTTGCTCTGAGTAAGACAGCTAGTACTCAACAGAGCTGGGGCCAAACACAGGGGCCTGAGCCTGGTCTTAACAACCATGCCTCTTTGGAACTCACCAAAGCATCTCAGCTTGTAGATCCTGTTTCCGAAAACACACTGGGGGCACTAATACAGACCCCACAGAATGGCGGAAGCGTGGCCCAGCCCCCATTTTATTTCAACCCATTTGTATCATGTGCATATAAATTGGAGCGCCGGTGTCCAAGATTCAAAGTTGGTGCTTCCTCAAAGCACTCCTTAACTTATCAATTCAAAAACCAGACGGGACCGTGTGAGTTCATCTTAAAATGGGAAATTTCCATTAGCTGCAGCATATAAACTGCAGCATACGGGGAGTACATTAGAAGCTGCCCTAAATGTAAAGAGCTACATAAGCCCTCCATGCTATTTTTATCTTTTTAAGGACAAGGTGATGACATCGAAGTAAATTTCTGGGGACGGGAGCAGAGCCCGCCTCCACCCTGACGTGGGCAGGCTCCCTTCTGCACAGTCCCCTTGGGCCCTTGTCCTCAGGCAGAATGCACACAGCTGCAGTCACATTGTCCCGGGGATGTGTCCCAACACGTTCCTGCACAACTCAGAATAAAATCTCAGTGAACGACAAGAGGAAACATGCTGGCGAAAGCACCTGCTTCTGTTCTTGGCCCTTGCAAAATATCGGGATCTGGAAAGACCTGAGTACGTGAGTGAGTAGGAGGCAAGGGTGGCCATGTAGGCTGCGCCCAAGCCCCAGCTGGGCTAATGACACTGGCCTCTGCGGCTCTCTGGAACCCTGTCCCCGGCCCAGGGTAGAGGGCTCCTGTGAGAACAGTAAGGAAGAGCAGCGGTCGCCAAGTCATGACCGACTGCGGTCCGAAAAGCTCTACGTTTTTGCTTCTGTGTATTTGTTCCTAGGGCAGGTCCGAAACTGGGGCTTAGAAATTAAAGTGGGAGCCAGGATTGGGGGGGTGGAGAAAGTCATATGTGATCCCCCAGACGCAGCACCATCAATGTGTGGCCGCATGTCAGTCCTTGAGTGGGACGGAAACTGAACGGCAGAGCCAGAACACTGGAGCTAACTGGCCTAAAGCACATGTTTCTGTTCTGAAAGTGTCTTTTTACCTGGCTCATCGCCAGCATTTATAAAATCAGACCCAGGGAAGAACAGGCCAGGACAGCGAGAACGCCCACAGTCTGAGGGCGTTTTATCTCGATTCTCCTCCTTGGAGTTCTGTACAGGGCAGCGGGAGTGTTCTTCTGCTTCCTTTCTGAATAGAGAAGGGAGTGTCCAGCGGGGCCCCTCTCAGTTTGCTCTAGTCGGGCCCAAAAGTCACAGAAGGGACCGCCAGAGCCCTGTGTGCTTGACCTCTCGCCCGTACTTCCACGGACTCGCCATCCGAGCTGGCAGGCTCGACGCCTAAGCCAGCTCTCTGTGCCGTCCACCCAAACCAGGCAGGAAACGTGAGCCAGACATCCCCAACTGACTGTCATGTCCCAGGATGGGGCAGGGTCCAGCCGGTGCCCATCCCCAGGCAAGGAAAGTTTGTTTTCCCTTTTATTGGAGTAGGGAGGTGAAATCTGGGGAGAAGACCCCACAGAATGGAAGAGTCTGAGGACTCAACCGAAGTCCAGGAATCGTGTAGGAAAAGAGCAGCTCTGTCCATATCAGCACAGAGCTCGGGTGGACAGGCCTCGGCACGACAGTGCTCAGCTAGGGCCAGCCAGGGAGAGCCTGTGCCCGTCCAGCCTCCTGAGTCCTGAACCCACACCCTCCAGAGCTGCAAGCCCGTCCTTAGCCCAGCTTGGATAAAAGACACGGGAACAACTGATTCTCTGTCAGTTCCACGAGGACATGAGGGTCCAGTGGGACGTGCTATCCAGTGACGTCAAACCCCAAGCCTGGAGGCAGTTCTTATGTCTGCCTAGATCTGGGATTTGTTTCCCCAACTGGCATGAGAGGCGGAGGCATGGACGCTGCTCATTTATCGGGGGAATGCAAAATCGATCAACACAAACACATACAGTCACGTGAAGGCCACCGTGGCATCCTTGGTGACCATGCTGGGATTAGACAGAGTGTCACGCAGAGGTCACATCCGAGCACCTGCTCACACGGCCAGCCAGAGCAGAGGGCCGTCCACACTCCACACCCCCGGACAGACCATTCACCTCCTTTGCCTCATCTGACTGTGGGACTGCCTTGTGGGTACCTAGGACAGCTACGCCGACACCCATTTCTCCAGCCGAAGACACTGATGACGGGCAGGTTGGAGGAACCGGAGAGACAGGCGCCGCACAGGGGCACCGCCACCTGAATGGACTCAGCCTCAACAAGCATCACGGCTGGGCCACCGCAGCCAGCTCCGATGCCAGCCCACACTGGCTATGCCACTCATAGCTGCCCACACCTCATCAACCCTGAGCACTGTGTACCGTCAGACACTCCAAAATAACGAGCCACTGGGGAGGAAAGACAACCCACTACCAATTAAGCCATGGCATGCCACCCACTTCAAAGGGGATCAAATAAAATCTGGCCTATAAAACAAATGAAATATGGCCTAAAAGGAAAAAAGATGGGCGCCTTTTTCAACAACGCAAGCAAACCAATGACTCCTTGCATGACTTTCCGGGAAACAAAAGCAGTGGCCGGCAGGATGAGAGAGAGCCAGCTCCACCCACCACCCTGCTGATGACCTTCAACGTGGCCAAATTCCCAGGCATGTGAAGATTTAACACCAACACCTTTCAGGCGAGCCTGTGAGACGCCAGGCGGTTCGGCACAAGCCGGCCCGTGCCACAGACCTGCTTGGAGTCGGGCGTCCGCAGGTTCAGGCTGGCAGTGGAGATAGTCAGCGAGATGCTCGTCCCGGCAAACTGCAGGTTGCTCTTTCCCAGGATGCTGGACAGCACTTTGCTGGGAGGCTGCAGAACCAAAGAGCGTCATTCCAGCTGGTTATTGGCGGAGGCCACCCTGTCCCAGCCTCTGTGTCATTCCCGTCTAAACGTGGAGGGGATTGGCCAGGCTCGGTGGCTCAGCCTGTCATCCCAGCACTTTGGGAGGCCAAGGCGAGTGGATGGCCTGAGCCCACGGGTTCGAGACCCACCTGGGCAACTTGGCGAGACCTCGTCTCTACAATCAATCAAAAAATTAGCCAGGCATGGCAGTGTGCGCCTGTAGTTCTGGCTACTTGGAAGGCTGGGGTGGAAGGATCACCGGAGCCCAGCAGGTCAACGCTGGGGTGGCCGTGAGTGTGCCACGGAACTCCAGCCTGGGCAATGGAGTGAGACTTCAACTCAAAAAATAAAATAACACAACACAAAACAAAACAAAATAAAAGTGAAAGGGAGAGGGGTGTCCACCATATCCCTAGGCCCTCACCACCCTTCCTCCCAGCTGCTGAGGAAGACAATCGTGAAATGAACACACCGGAGGGTGGCTCTGAAGCTGGTATGCACATTCTAGAATATTCGAGATGCAGGCAGTAAAGCACCTAATAAGCAGATGCTGAGACGAGGACTCGGGGCGGTCAGAGGCATCAGCGTCTCCTGGGGTCCCTGGCGTGTGAGCCCGGAAAGGGTGCCCCAGGCCAGGGCCAGCCTCAGTCCTGCAGGCTTGACAGCGTGGTTTCAGCCTGTAATCCCAGCACTTTGGGAGGCTGAGGCAAGTGGAGAGTCAAGCCCTGTCAGGGAGACTAGAAGGACCAGCTCTTGGTGTTCATGGGAACCATGAGGACGCTCTTTGCTGGAGGAGACCACACATCCCTCGGCTCAAAAGTCCTCGCAGGTCAGAGCTCTCGGGGACTGTCTGGCTACAGCCAGAGGGGCCCCAAGCCATCACAGGGAGGGACAGACACAGCCTGGCTTCAACTGGCATGGCCATCACCCCGTTAGAAGTGTCCTCGGCCCAGGAGCAACGGCTGCACCCCGGCCAGCGCCTCCACCTGAATACGTGGCTGGACATGGCAGCAAGCGTCTCTGTCCTCAGGACTGGCTTACCCTTTCTTTTCGGCTTAGAACACTGCCTCTTTTGACATACGAATTAGTTCCTGACTGGGCACAGATTGTTTTTAATCTCTGGAATAAATTATTTTATCTTATTTTATTTGTTTTTTTGAGTTGGAGTCTCCCCCTGTTGCCCAGGCCCACGGCCACCGCAGCCTCGATCTGGTGGGTTCAGGCGATCCTTCCAAGTAGCTATGGAACCACAGGCAAGCACCACCATGCCCAGCTAATTTGTTGATTTACTGTGGAGACGGGATCTCCAAGCCAAGTTGCCTAGGCTGGTCTTGAACACCCGGGCCCAGGCAGTCCTCTCGCCTCCACCTCCCAAAGTGCTGGGATTATGGGCAAAAGCCACCACACCCAGCCTGAAGGAATTATTTTAAAAACAGGGTGCGGAGGCCCCACCCATGAGGCTCTGATCCATTTCTCCTGGACTTTGCCATGTTTCCGCCACTTCCACCAAGAGGACCTCAAGGGACACAGACGGGTCAGCACCACCCCACGCCTGCAAGGCGAGGCTCCCGTCTGTCTTCCTGTTCCTGTCTTCATGACTCCGGAGCCTCGCTCAGCCCCAGAGGGCCCCCGGGGGCTGATCAGAACACAGGTTGACACATCCGGCCCTCCATCTGAAGTGCCCTGAGACCCAGCTCCCTGAGGGCACAGGACACCCTGACATCTGAAGACAGACCCAGCTGGGGCCCTGAGAACAGCAGACGCCGGTGTGCACCTGCCAGAAGGATCTGGGGCCCCAAGCGCTTGGCCTCAGGGCAGGTGCAGGGGTTCTCTGCCCGGGCCTGAGCCTGAAGGATTGCCTGGACTGAGGCGTTTAGCCGTGTGTTCACTCGACACTTAAAAAGAGTGTCCCGGCTTTCTCCGGCTCTGGGCGTCGCTTAAAAGCTCCAGCACCGCTGCTGGGCCCGCAGCCCCCGGGGCAGCCCGCCTGACTCCGCCTCCCACGGGCGCTGCTTAGCTCTGAGCCTCAGTGTTCATCATGGGGGCATCTCCTGGCATTCTGGCGCTGGCGAGAGCCAGCTACTGCGTGTTTAGAAGTTTATGATCAGGTCACTGCACACAGCTGTTATTAAAAATTAATTGATGTGAACTTACGAGCAAATACGTTGCATTTAAAAACAGACGTAAAAGCCGGGCTCGGTGGCTCAGCCTGTCATCCCGCGTTTTGGGAGGCTGAGGTGAGTGGATGGCCTGAGCCCGCAGGTTCGAGACCCGCCTGGGCCACTTGGCGAGCCCTCATCTCTACAACAAATCAAAAAATCAGCCGGGTGTGGTAGCGCATGCCTGTAATTCCAGCTACTCGGAAGGCTGAGGTGGATGGATCGCCGGAGCCCAGTGGGTCAAGGCTGCAGTGGCCAGGAGCGGCCACTGCACTCTAGTCTGGGTAACAGAGTGAGACTCCAACTCAAAAAAAAAACCAAACAAACTAAAAACAGACGTAAAAACTCAGCACCCATCACTTCCTAAATGCTTTGCTGTATCAACTGTGCTTTTCAGGACTTGGATGGAAACGTCCCGTCAAGCCGAGCAGCGGCACCTCTTCCCGGCTCTATCCCCAGGGGTGTCCTGTTGGGTGAAGGCTTACAGTCACCCACAGGGGGATGCTGGCACACAGAAAGTGGCAGATGCCACAAATCCAGGGCCTCCCATCCCCTTCGCGGCCTCAAGAGCCCGTTGTTAAACACTTACCAGCACACCAGGGGGAGGCCTGCCAGGAAACGTTGCTGTAACTAAGGGAACTGGTGTGTGTGTGAGGTGCTCACAGTGCTCAGAGCAACGCCTGGCCCTGTTTTAAGTATCTGTTGTTGTCCTCAGGGTGTAAGCCATAGTGGGCCACCAGGCTGTCCACTTCTGGGACAGCGACAGCTAACTGTCCTCAACCACGTGGGAGAGAAAGCAGTCTAAGCTCGTCCTGCTTTGGGGAGTGACAGGAGCCAGTCTGCAGGAGGAGGACAGGAGGAAGAGCTCTGTGTGGCTGAAGGTGCCAGCGGAGAATGAGGGGGAGGCCAAGGCAGACACAGGTGGACGCAGAGCGCCGAGGACAGTACCTTTCTCTTCTTGAAGGCTCCCTTGGCTCCAGGCACAGCTTCGCAGACACGGCTGATGGCTTCCCTTCAGGGGACAGGAAGAGAGAGCCACGTTATCAGTGTCCAGCGGGATGAGGGGCCCTCAGTCACTACACTTGCACGTCAAGAGAAAACGCCTGCTATGCATGCCGGCATGGAGAGCAGATCTGCCAGTGCAGGGTCGCCCCATGCCTCTTCTCAACGGAAAGCAAGATGCAACATAGACAGGCCGTCTTCAACCTCTGTGCCTGCAGTGTTCTAGGTCTCTCTGTTGTGGTGGTTGCATGCTCATGTTGTCATCTGTGTCCATGCAACTTTTTTTTACGTTAGACTGCGATTCCAGTTTTTAAAGTTAGCACCCTAAAATGCACTCGTTTCTGAGACAGGACACAAGGCCCAAGCCTGGTCAACGGCACGACAGGTCACGGTCCTTCTGACGTGAGATAGAACAGCACGAAAACAAACCTGGTGCTCTGAGTTTTCTTCCCAGCTCCTGCAGTTGGTAAATCTTATAAAATCAAGAGGGTTTGGGCGGAGGAGAGGCATGGGGGCTGGGGCCGAAGGGTAGAGCGAGGCTGTGTGTAGGGCGCGTCCACGTGACACCCCCGGGGTGGCAGCGGCTACGCACCATCCTGGCAGCGAAGGCAGAGGTGTCCTGAGTGTGGAGGGCCCAGCCGGGCAGGGGCCCCACCCATAGGTCTGCATGGGGCAGGAGAACACGGGAGGTGAGGAAGGCCTATGACGGCAGGAAGGGGCAGCTGAAGAGCCAACACAGCTCAGCCTCATGCGTGACTCAGCCCTCATGAGAAACAGCTGGAGTCAGGCCCAGGGGGGCCCAAGCCCAGGTCCCAGAAAGGAGCTGGGGGACCTTCTCAACTCCCACGTGGAGAAGAAAGTTGGAGAACCCAGGAAAAAAAAACAGCAGGGCCACGGAGGCGGTGCACGATAAAGAAGGTAATGGGTCCCTGGAAGCACCCTGCAACGTTCTAAGCCGAACACTTCTGGAAATGATTCCTATACTCTAGATGAAAACGCGCCACCATCACAATACACGCTTTTAGGAGAAATACGTCTGGGTTAAATTAAGCCAGCGACTGTGCAGGCAAGCCTCCCACTGCCATTCCATTCACCACAGAGAGCAGGGAAAGGACTTTTTTAAAAGTTCAGATGCCAGGAAAACGGCAGGCTGTGAATCACCACGACTTGGAAAAAGCCAAGAGAGCAGCAAATGTTCTCAACGTGTGTGCCTACTCCTATTGATTTTATAATATTCCAACTGTGGTTCTATCAAAGTGATCGATCATGTATCATCCCAAGCACTTCCTAAAAGTAAATTCTATTGAAGAAGGTCAAGCTGTCTCTTTATAAAACTATATAAACCCCAGTATCTGTATTTTATCTGTTTAATTAAAAGACAGCTCAGGGAAATCCCCACATTGTACTTATTATATGAAGTGATATATTCAGCTGAGCAAATCGCTAAATTGCTGAGGGTCCCAGCAGGCTAGAAAGAGATGACATGGTGACGTGTCTTTCCTGACTCATTCCCTAAATACCTCTAATAAGCACCAGATTTATCTTCCCATCCACCAACATGGAGCATAAGAGAAAAAGTCAGGCCGGGTTCGGTGGCTCAGCCTGTAATCCCAACGCTTTGGGAGGCCGAGGTAAGTGGATTGCCTGAGCCCATGGCTTCGAGATCCGCCTGGGCAACTTGGCGAGAACTCATCTCTACAACAAATCAAAAATTAGCCGGGCAAGGTAGCGCGCCTGTAGTTCCAGCTACTTGGAAGGCTGAGGTGGAAGGATCCCCGGAGCCCAGCATGTTGAGGCTGCTGTGGCCGGGAGCATGTCACTGCACTCCAGTCTGGGTGACCGAGTGAGTCTCCAACTCAAAAAAAAAAAAAAAGAGAAAAAGTCAGACTCAGAGGACAGTGATCCCAAAGACACACACTGTCAAACGTTGAAGCTGGCCTGACCTAGAGCTGTCAGGGGCAGGCTCTGTGCCACTCCTGGGGAGAAGCCAGAAACGGCACCTTCCCAGTAAGAAGGAATTGCAAAGCCCTGCAAATAATCAACAGTTCTATCCAATACTGTTTCGCACAGAAAGGCAGGCAAGAGTCCCAGGGCACATTTGCAAGCATAAGAAGTTTCAGAAATTTCTCGGAGCTGTGTACTCAAGGAAAGCCCCAAGAATCCCACGTGTGAGTCTTCAGAATCCCCAAAGGGGTTTCCAAATCAAGCTACTTTTCAGAAAAATGCTCTCCCATCATCCTCGGCATAAATTCATTTCTTATGCTCATACGATAACACGTGTGTGTGAATTCTCATTTCAACCAGGCTGATGGCAGCTATTTCTGTTTGAAATAGAAACGTGGCATAGCTATTAATAACTGCAGTATTTGGATGCCTGGAATAACTGTCTTTAACTCCAGAGTCTAATTTCCCTCCTTACTGGGTGAGCACAGTGCATTATAGTGAGCAGTATACTGTTTCAATTTATTCATTTAGCAATTATTATTTCTCTTTGTGTAATTCCACTGGGTCCTCCTTTGAGTCCCAGGTACCAAATTTACCCTGTTTTTAATAACAGAGATTGCTTCTTGACACTCTGTTCAGTGTGGCCCCATTTTAGTAAGCCAAGTCATGACCTCAGAGCTCAGCTAATATGAAAATGGAACATTTGGCAACTTCTGTGGACACCTGAAAGCAGCCAGACCCAGCCCTGCCCCAGGGCAGATGCTTGTTGGCCTTGTGATCTGATCATTTTCCTCTCTTCTAGCTGATACTCATCAGTGGAGCCAACTCCTTTCACAGCGAACAACTTCTTCATTGGAATATAGGATTTTAGAACTGGACCCTTTGCAGCCATGTGGCACCATCGTTCCACCTCCTCCTCTGTCTCACCACAGCCCACCCCAAAGCCCCAGACACACACACACACACACACACACACACACACACACACACACACACACACACACACACTTTACAATTAATACAACTTAAAAGGGCCAGGCTCAGTGGCTCAGCACTTTGGGAGACCAAGGTGAGAGAATTGCCTGAGCCCAGGAGTTCAAGGACAGCCCCGGGCAAAATGGCGAAGCCTCTTCTCCACAATAAATTAAAAAATTAGCTGGGCATGCTTCACATGCCTGTAGTCCCAGCTACTCTAAAAGCTAAGGAGGAAGGGTTGCCCTGAGCCCTGCAGGTAGAGGCTGCAACAGGCATGACTGTGCCACTGCACTCCAGCCTGGGCAACAGAGTAAGACTCCAACTCAAAAAAAAAAGTTTAAAAAATGTAGAAGAGTTGAGTGATTTCTGCCCTCGTAGGTTTATATTTTGGTAGAAGGAGAGGCAACGAGCAAACAGATACAAATAGCAGCAGATTTAGATAGATTTCATGAAAAAACAACAAAGAGAGACCCCTGTGTCACACAGGGGACGCATCAGCACTGAAGGAGCCAGGACATGCATTTCACTGAGCTGTCACCCAGCAGGAAACAAAGTCGGGCTCCTATCTCTCGCCTTACATGCAAATAAATTCTAGATGAATCGCAAATTAAATTTGTTTGTAACCAAAGCACAAAAGTCCTAAAAGGAAACTGGGAAGAATATTTTTAAATTATCTTTGAGAGGAAGGATGATACAAAATTCAGAAACCACAAAAGAAAAATATTGACACACTCCATCGCATAAAAATAAAAACATATGCACAAGAAAAAATGGTAGCACTTCACAGTCAACAAGATAATTGTCTTAACGTAAGTCAGTAAGGAAAACAGCAAAAGCCCCGTGGAGAAATGAGTGAAGAGTTTACAGGAAAGAAAATACACACAGTTCTGGAAAACACAGAAAAATTCTCAACTTTGCTCATCACAGGAATGCAAAGTAAAGCCTCTACTGAGATTTCACCGTCACAGCCAAAGACTGACACTTGGTGATAGTTTGCAGAGATTTGGGCTCTTCACACATGTGGCCCCAACCCTAACAAGAAAAGACGCACAGACCCTTGGGTTGGTTCACTCAAAACACACTCAGATGTACCAGAGGGCTCAAATGATCCTCCCACCTCAGCCTTCCGAGTATATGGACCATAGGTGCATACCACCATGTCTGACTAATTTAAAAACTTTTTTTTTTTGGGTAGAGACAGAGTCTCACTATGTTGTCCAGGCTGGTGTCAAACTCCTGGGCTTAAGGTATCCTCCACCTCAGCTTCTCCAAGTGCGGGGATGACAGACATGAGCCACCATGCCCAGTGGTGAATTTCAAAATCCGCCTGCCACTTAAGAAACCAGTAAGACACCAAAGCCACTTTCCTGATTGTTCAGATCTTAGCAGATCAGCATACCAAAATGCTCCTGAGACTGTATACTGGGCCTCAGTCTTTGATTTATCCCAGAGACACACACACAGGAGGCAAAAATAAATACTGGTGGATGATTATTAAACAGGTGCAAAAAAGATGAGTGTATCCAATAAGTTTGGATAAAAACCCCAGTAAGGAAACTAGAAAAGAGATTCCTTAACCATGCTGAAATATATCTCCCCAAAATGGAAGACAAGCTCCTAGGATCACTAAGAATGTATTAGCCAAGAAAGGGAAGCCCTCCTGAGTCAATGCTGAGGATTGTAATTAATTAATAAAGATCAAGTGAGGTGACAAGGGGTATCACAGCATCTTCACTGAACATACCAGGGACTTGCCTTATTCTGACTGGCATTTCATTGAAACAATTTTCCTTTCTTAAAGTTCTTAGAAAAAGTCTTCTGCTCCCAAATGAACTGCTTCCTGAGGCTGACTCACTTGTCAAGGGAGACAGGCGCCCTCCTCAAATGTTCTTTCGGGTACAGCTTTGTAAGCGAACCAGGTTCTCGAGCAACGAGGGAGGAACCCCCAAACTGTGCCACGCTTCAAGGGGGACAGCATCCGGCCTCCAGAGGCCGCAGCTGGATGCAGCCGCCTGACACAGCGTGGCGTCGAGGGCCCATGGAAACCCTGTGCACACCGGTCTTCATGGCCAGCTTTTAGGAATGGCTTAT